ACCTGTTCAGTCAGCTCGGCAAAGACTCGGGGTTTTACTGCAACGAAATCTTTTGTTTCTTGGGAGGAGCCCAGTCAGTTCCATTTATGGAAACACTGGCTTTCATGGACCAATTTTCTGTTGATGAAGAGAGCCCTCACCTGAGAACATACGGTGCACATGAGGGGGAGCAGCCTCTGCAATGGCCGGTCCTTCTCCCTAATGCAGTCTTTTATTGAGTATCACTAACAGACTACCTGTGGGATTTCTCTGCTCCGAGTCGGCTTTCTTCAGAACCCGGCGCTGCACAGCTGGCTCTGCTTGTTTCCTGCTGAGGTTGCAGCCGGAGAGAGTGCTCTCCTCCCTCACAGCACGGCCCGCCTTACAAAGTCAAGCACATGATTGGATTGTGAATTGCAATGATGTACAAGGAAAACTATTGGCTCAATGGTGCGGGGTGCCCCTGGGAAATAGCTGCTGCTCTCACCCGAGTGGCCCAGGAAGGTCATCCCTGAAGGACCTCAAGAGGCGGATGCTAGGTGTCTCAGGTCAGAGGAAGCTTTCTTGCAGTCTTTACTCGTTGTCAGAACTGCGAACGGCCCTGGCATTGATGGGGCCGCTACTTACGGCTGGGGCCTCGTGTCTGATGTGCTCGGTTAAGAGGTACATTTACCGTCAAGTCTTTGCCTCTTAGTGGAAATTAAATCGCATCACTGAGAACAGCTGAAAGCAAAGGCCCCATGAGCTAGCTGTTGCTCTGACTTCAGCTCTCCGAGAAATACTCCTTTTATTTAAATTCCAGGAGTGTCCTTCATGTCCTCAGTGCTTGAAGGAGAGGGGACCCCGATTGTAGCAGCGCTGCCGCGTCTGATCTGTGTGATGGAGGGCAGGCCTGACAGGATGCACTTTATGGCCTGAGATGCTATGAAACAGTAGATATTGAAAAGGATTTCTCCTTCATAAAAGGACCGTCTTGCGAAACCGATTTCCAGATGTTTAGCAACATTCGAATTTCCTGATAGTGCCGTTGGGTAAAATTAAAGCAAGACTTAACTTTTCCGATTTCAGTCCAAAGGCAAAGGAGAGCCTTACCCACAGGGCCTCTCCTGGATAGTTCTCCAAAGCAAGCAGAGCGGTAACTGTGGAGAGTCTTTGTCGTCATTTCATCTTCAAACACCCACGCTGCGAGACCTGCTGCCGTTCTTAAGACTGCATGTGATCACTGGGTGCTGTAGAGTCAGTCCCGGCTCCCACGGACCCCGGTCCAGTGCCATCTCCTCGCGGTTGGTATGTGGAGCCCATTGCTGCAAACGCTGTGTCAGTCCGTCTCATCGAGGGCCTTCTCCAGGGCCTGGCCCCTCCCGATGATGTGTCCAAACTAGTCAGACAAAGTCTCACCATCCTGGCCTCTTAGGGTCACTCTGGCCTTCCTTCTTCCCAGACTGATTGGTTTGTCCTTTTTGGCAGCCCATGGGACTTTGAGTGTTCTTCTCCAGCACCACTTTCCAAATGCCTCCATTCTTCCACAACCTTCCTTATTCAGTGCCCGATGGTCAACTCACGGGAACCCTCTGAGACAGAGCAGACCTGCCACTGCATAGGGCATCCTGGGTGGCCATCTTCCTGGGAGCAGATCTTCAGGACTGTCTCTTTGCAGTGCAGCTGGGTGGGTTAGATGAGCCATCCGATGAGCACTTCACCACTGCACCACCCAGACTCTTTGCTAAGCGCTTTCGTCACCCATACATTCTCATGAGTGATAAAACATTGACTGCTGACTGTACGCTTGTCAGAAGTCTGGTGACACAGTGGGGCGAGCGCTAGGCTGCCAACGCCAAGGTCGGCTGTTCAAACCCTCTAGCCCCTCCGTGGGAGACTGAGTGGCTGTTCCTCACATAGAGAGTTGCAGTCTCAGAAGCCCACAGGGGCAGTTCTACTCTGCCCTGTAGGGTCGCTGTGAGTCAGAGTCAACCACAGAGCAGTGCTTGTTCAGTCAGTTGGAACCTGGACCTTTTGGCTGGCCGCTGGGCTGGTGACCACTGTGGCCTCCAGGCTCCGGGCAGATGCCATCTTAGGAGAGTCCCTCAGTACAGGCGTCAGAGGAGCCAGGTGCTCTCTCGCCCTCTGTACTGGAAAGACATGCTCAGCAAGAAGCTAGGGACAGACCAGACGGGCCCTGGAGGATGGAGGCGAGGTAAGAAGAGAGCTTCCAGATCTGAATGCCTGGCACTGTCTGCTCTGGGGCCAGGCCATGACCCTAGACTTACACTCTACAGATCACACTAGACACAGGTTCTCACACTGCGTGTGGCTGTACACACGACACACGTTTATACAATAACAAATTAAAATCTTATTTCTGCACTCGTTCTAAAGTAAATATTGACAAGAGCATAAATCTAGTCAAAAAATGTTATTCTTACATATTTGTCTCTATGAAGGGCCTGGATGAGCAGATGACATAGTTTATTTTCTTTGAATCAGCACTTCACATAGACATCGTCCTTTGAGTCCTGTTAAGAAAAGTTCAGTGTCTCCAATCTGCCATTTCTGGATCTCCACATCTTCTAGTTGACTCTGCTCAACTCAATCCAGCGATCTTAAATGTCAGCAATAACAAGACTCACAGCTGAAGCCATAATGCTAGCTTGTAGGTGCATTTTCCTTGTTACTTGTCCTTTTAAATATATTTTGATTCTCAGGGAATCCTGGGGTTTTGACTAGACTTTTAAAAGCGAGCCTAATTTACTTTCATGTAACATGTTAATTTATGCTTCCTCACCCACTCAGAGCCTCTCCAAGTGTGTACCGGGGCCTCCAGAAATTTCATGGGCAAATCCCATATCTTCTCACTCCAGTCCCCCCCCCCCACCTCTGTGTCTCCTAAGAGCCTGGGGCTCACATCTTACATTCTCCGTCCCGGGCTGAGGGTGCAGCAGGGTGTGCATAGGGCGTGTGTGTGACTGCACATCGACCTCATTGCTCTGTCGTCAGGACCCTGTGCTTAGTTATCAACTCCTGAAGTCTTTGGCAGTGGGTGGCCCTGCACAGCCCCCTGGGAAAGCCCCACGGAGGGCTACCCCTCAGGCCAGCCCCAAAGCCCCCTGCATGCTGAGACCCCGGGCTTTCGGAGGCACGTGGTCTCTGCTGGTTAATTTCCTGATGGATGGCTGAGGGCCACACTGCACCGTCCAGCTCGTCTCCTGAAGACAGATGACCGCGAGTGGGTTCTCCTCCCAATCAGAATTTGATTTGTTGGGTGTTAAGCCAATTCTTTCTAAGGACACTGTTTACAAGCCTTGTAATGAGGCAGCGCTCGGAGACCTACCTCTTTCTGCCTGTAATTTTGATAAATGAAACTCTAATTCATAAAGGATATTGTGATTGAAAAGTACCTTTGGCTCTCAGACACTGTAATTTAGATAAATGCTTGGCGCAAGACCATGTAATCAGGGACTTTGCCGAGCTGCAGCCTGCACTTAGGCAGGTTAGAGGACTTCCCGGGGAGGTCCCTGGGAGCGCTGCTGCTTTCTCCTGCCTGTCAACTCCCGGGCAGGACAAGAATGCCACGCGCCTGCGAAACACACCTTCTCTATGAGTGGATCTGACCAGGAGGCAGGGGGACACACCTTGTCTCCTAGAGACCCATCTTGGTCCATGTGAAGAACCTGGTTCCCCCCAAATCTGCCCCAAAACATCAAACAAAGACCAGGTGGGTGGTGGGAGGGACGGGGGTGGGTGGGAGTGGAGCTGGAAAACTTAGGAAGCTGGGAGCAGTGGTGGACATGACCAGAAGGGAGCTTCCTGGGGGAAGCCCTGGTGGCCAGATGGTTTGGTTCAATGCTCAGCAGCTGACCAAAAGGGAGACAGTTCAGCCACACCCAGCAGGTCTACCTGGATGGCACAGGCAGCCCGAGGGGCAGAATGGGGCCATGGTACATAGGAATCCACTTCCTATCTCTGTTGCTCTGTCGGTTCTGAAGAAACACTGGTGCCACGAGGAGCAAGACTCTGGGCTGCTCGCAGGAAACCAGGATGGTCGCCTGCCAGGGGAGGCCTGTGGGAGAAAGAGGAGGCTCTCTGCCCCCTCTGCCCCCTCCTACAGAGGCACTGTGCGTAGCATCCTCCCACTGGCCTGGGGTTTGGCCCGGGTCTTTTGGTGGTGACTTTGAGTCACTGTCCCTGCTCCAGGTGCATCCCCAGGGCCACGGGGTCTTCTGTGACGAGGGCCTCCTCAGGGCTGGTGAGAATCCCTTCTCCCTCACCCTAAGGAGATGATCCTGGGTGGGGGCTGTGCATCCACCCCCAAGATAACCACTCTCCTCTCACATGAGGGCCTTTCTCGCCCACCCGTACATGGCTCAGTGACTGGCAGCCATGGCCTGTGCGGGTGTGGCGTTGGGGATCAGGAAGCGGGGGTGTGCGGAGGCCTGGTGGTTTGGAAAAGGTGCATGGATCTGAAGCTCACATTTCTCCACGGGAGCCCTTGAGGTGCGAACTGCTGAGTCAGCGGTTCAAACCCACCAGCGATTCCTCTGGAGAAAGACTGCCAGTCTGGGACACGCAGTGGGGCAATTGGTTGTCGGCTCTGCAGGGCGCTGGGAGCAGGAGTCGGTCGGTTAGATTGGGTTCTCTGCTCGAACCCCAGTGGCGTTGTGGGTTAAGTGTCTGGCTGCTGGCGGAAATGCCAGTGGTTGGCAACCAGTCACTCTCCAGGGGCCAAGGTGTGGCAGTCTGCCTCTGCAGAGACCCTCCAGGGGCTGGCTATCCGCTGCCCTGCACCCCGGCTCGCCGAGCCGGCAATGGGAGGGACTCAGGGATTTCTCTGCACCGGGCCAGCCACCTGGCCTGCTTTCCCTCCATCAGAAGGTGCCCCACAGGGGATGGATGGAAATAGTCTGCAGTTGTCATCAATCAGTGCAACAGCTAAAGTACTGGCCCCTGAGGCCGTGTGGGCAAACTGCACTGGTGCTAATGCTGGTGGCCCGAGGCCTGAGCGTGTCCCTTTGGCTTGTCTGCAGGCACCGAGGAGGGCGTGGTGAGGTCTAAGAAAGCCTTCCGGAGCCAGGCAGTGGTGAGCCAGAATGCCGAGGCTGAGCTGATGCTGGAGGGGGACGATGACGCGGTCAGCCTGCTGCAGGAGAAGGAGATGGACAACCTGGCAGGTGAGCTCACGGGGCTGGCAGGCACCGGTGGGTGGGATGGCTTTTCAGTGACAGGGAACAGGTTCTGCTACCCACTCCCAGGCCACCACTCTGCAGAGTGGGACTACCCTACAGGTCTCCAGGGGACAGATGGCCTCTCTCCCCCCATGCCACAGTTGGGAGGCAGGGCCGAATGTCAGCCTCACAGACACACACCTACCTCTGGCTTCCCGCAGGCCTGTGGTTGGGGGCCAAGACCTCAGCCAGGTCTTCTACGCCTGCCCTGCCCCCACCCCCAGTTTTATTTGGCCTTGTTCCTCCCACTGCACACTGCTGGGACACCCCCCCCACCCCAAGCAACCCTCTGTCACCTGGCCTGTCCCTGTCTCCTGGTCTAAGGCCAAGTCAGGGATCATCTGGACTGACAGGGGCCATGTCATCTGAAACACTAATGCATGGGCCTGCAGGATGCTGAAGTGTCCCTAGAGAACACACACACGTATTTGCCTATATGCTGGGAGGCTCCTGAAAGGATTTCCGGAGCATTTTCTGTGTCTAACTGTGTTTAGACAGAGCTCTAAGGATGAAGAAGTGTGCGCACGGTGCTAATCGTGAAGGCTGGTTTGTTTGATGGGTGGTCTAGGTGTTGGGCACTCCATTCTGGCCATCCCACCAACCCGACCCACTGCCATCGAGTTGATTCCAACTCAGAGCCACCCTGCTTAGGGCTTCCGAGGCTGTCAATCTTGACTGAGCAGACAGCCTCTTCTCTCTCCCGAGGACCAGCAGGTGGGTTTGAACTCCCAACCTTCTGGTTAGTTGTCTACCACTTAACCGACACCACCACCGTTTTACTTAAATGTCAACCTTTCCCGGGTGTATTTCATTTTCCTTGGTGTTTCTTAGTCTTAATCAAGCTGAAATGCCCCACGTAGTTCTCTAGCTCTCAGCACTCTCCAGCCAGCCATGCCCCTTTAGTTCCTTCACGCTATGAGCTGTCACTTCCAGGGGCCAGGTGGGTGTCTGTGTGCCTGGTACCTGGTACAGTTCAGTGGGCAGGACTCCAGGGACCCCGGCCCTGAGGTTGGCCTCATGCCCGAGACCCTTCACTTCACTTACTCTAACCCTGTGTTGGTAGTGACCCCCATGTGAACCCGAGCCCCGAGAATGCCACACGTGACTCACATGTCCAGCGCAGGAATCCCGCACTAAGACCACTCCATTTCACTGGACCTCGCCCTCTGCCCATGGTCCTTTCTTGGCCTGCGTGTCGGTCAAGCCGCTAACATGCATGATGAGCTCAAGTGACCGAGGTGGGGGGTGATTTAGCCCAACTGACAGGAAGCACCCCCACCGCCACGTTGTTATTAGAGCCCTGGACCTGTCCCCATGCTGACCAATGACAAGAATATTCACGTGGGGGAATTCGAAGTCACAACACCCCTAATGTCACCCCTGGTGCAGCGGTCTGACTAACTTGGGAGATGGCGCGTCTACGCCCACATGTTGGATTATCAACGCTGTGGGTGGGGATCATTTGTCTTGCTCTGCTATGTAAGCCGCTCTCACCAACATCCCACCCACCACCCACTCGAGGCCCTCACTGATGTCATTGCGGATGCCCTTCATGCTTCTCTCTGCCTCTCACCCTGCCCTCTTTCAGCCATGCTGAGACATTTTACGATCGAGTCACTGGCCAACCACAACACTGCCCTCCCTCCCCGCACATTGTGGCTGTCACACTCTTAGTATGATGTCACAGTGTTAGTGTGCTGTCACCATGTTGGTGCGATGTCGCAATGTGAGCATGATATCACAGACTCAGTTTGATGTCACCATCCCAGTGATGGCACGGTGTTGCTCTGATGTCACAGTCTTAGTGTGATTCCAGTGTTATTTTGATGTCGCGGTGTTGTATACTCTTAGTGTTAGTGTGATCTCATGGGTTTTTGGTGATGCCACAGTGTTAACAGGATGTTACAGTGTTAGTGACATGTCACAGTGTCACTTTGATGTCACAGTGTTAGTGTAATATCGCCATCATTTGCACAGCATTAAAGCAGGCTTCTGAAAGGACCTTGCCCCACTCAAAGATGGCACACCCGGCTCAAAGATGGTCGCCCACCGCTTGTGATGTGTCCTGCCACCAGCCCATCCTCACATCAGACTCCTAAAAGGGCCCACGGCGACTCTTCTAAGCCTCCCACTTCAGGACTTCCACCATTCCAGTTACCACAATGAATCACCCAACTTCTAAAAACTGGGGTCTGTTTCCACTTCAGCCTGACACTGCTAGCCAAGACTGGCTGGCTGGAAGCGCTGCGTTAAAGGGCCAGCAGGCTTTTCCGTAAGTCAGACATTTGTACCCGGGGACCCCCTGCACTCCCAGAGTACAGCCCTCCCCACAGTGTCCCCCCAGGGAACAGAGACCACGCTCCCTGCCAAGGAACCCTCTGTGACTCGGGATGGGCCAGCACACCCCGTGCCACCAAGGCAGGAACCTGCACTTTCTCGGCAGAGCAACGGGGGTTTTGAACTGCTGATCCTCTAGTTAGCTGCCCAGCGCATCAACCCTGCTGCACACCCTGAGCAACCACTGCCCTACGCCCCGTGCGCATGGGTTTCCTGCTCGGTGGACCACGTGGTCTCAGATGCCTGTTTGCTTCCACCCGCTGTAGCAATCCCAAGGTCCACCCACGCTGTCGCTTTCCTTTCCTCTGGCTGCATCCGTGGACTCGCAGGCCACCCTGTGCCCTCTCTCCTGCCCCTGCTGACTGAGAAGAAAAGGGCTGCTGTGAGCACATGCTTCCTTCCTCCTGGTAAACGGGGAGCAGAGTTGCTGGGTCGCGCATGGCCACTCTGCGCTCTCCCTGCTTGAAACGCGGTCAGATGGCTTGCCTGTGAGTGCGTCCGTCCACATTCCCACCCGCGCTGTGCGACATGCCTGGTTTGCCACGTCCTCCCCACACATGTTCTTCTGTCTTTTTTACTGTGGAGCCACCCTATCACATGCTATTATACCCTCTGTGAGACACGGAACACCGTTCTTCATTTTAGATATGTTCCCGTGTGCTTTCCCAACTCGGTTAGACTGTCAGTACCGCTGGGGCAGCAACCCCAGTCCTGTTCCTTGAAGCTGCGAAAGAAGGAAGCAAGCATAACCCGGGCGAGGTCTGAAGGGGAAGGATGAGCAGGAGGCACGTCCACAGGACACAGCAGCACAAAGCTTCCTTTCCGAGAGTGAAACAAACTTGCTTTTCCCTTTTACCTGAATCATCCACTTCCCGGCTCATGCTAATTAGATCTCTCAAACAGTTTCTCAATTCACAATACGAATAGCTAAATATCCATAGAATGGTGGTTTTATTTCAACTCCTGCCAATTATGTTCTTTGAACTGAGTGTCATGTGGGTCCTTTCCATGTGTGACCTTGGGGTCCCGCTGCAGCTCTCTGATCAAGAAGTGATTTTCTGTGTCACGAGGAAAAGATGTCTCACAGGCACGGGCTACCCTGCCCATTCGAGTGCTGAGGGGCACGGCGCAGTTGAAGGCGCATTGGGCAGCAGTGTGGAACCACCAGGCTCCCGCTCCCGTGAAGAGTCCGTGCTGCACCCCGCGGGGGCGGTCCCGCCCTGTCCTGTGGGAGGCTGTGAGTCGGCTGGTTGCTTCGACTTGGCGTTGTTGAGTCGCCCTTGCTCAGTGGGCCTGTGGGCGGGCCTGCAGTCGCACCTCCACGTCCCTGTCTGTAACTCCAGGGCCAGGCAGCCTCCCCTTCCTCCTGCTGCACGGCCCTTAGAATAGCTTTGATAGCAGCCCAGGGAAGATGGGGAGTGGGCTTCCAAAGCTCACGGAAAACTTGCATCAAAGGGTAACAGAGCTCGTCCACAACCTTTCTCAAGTCCCCAGTTTGTGTGGGTGTGTGTGTGCATGCGTATGCATGTGTGTGTGTGTGCGCGCGCGCGTGTGTGTTTAAGTGGTCAGTCTCTCTTCCTTTAGACACACACGCACACATGCTTGCCAGGCTCAAGAACCTGAAACTCAGAGGAAATGATGTGCGTGACTTTAAGGCTGGTGAAAAAGCCCGAACCGGGGCAGCGCTGTGGACTGGATTTGAAAGCCCCTGCAGCGGACCCGTCCCTCGGGGCCCCTCCAGCGCGGGGCCAGCCTGGGAGCCCTCTCGATCTTGCCTGGTCAGGAGCAGTTTTATGTGCTACCATCTCTGCTCAACTGACTGAAAGCCAGTTCGTTCAAGAATGCAACTCGGCCTAAAAGCGAAAGCCGGGGAAGCCCGGCTCAGATTTCCACTGCAGGCTGGCCTCTCCTGCGGGGCACAGTGCTCCTGCTCTCCTATTCCGTGCCCCGAGCACCCAGGGGGATGGAAGAAGGTTCCACCTGCAGGGCATTTGCTGGACTCCTGCTCCTGGTCTGTTGATCAGGCAGTCACAGCCCCTCCTGCGACGTGCTACATGCAGGACCAGGTACGCGCTGGACAGCCAGGCAGCTGGATCATGCATACCTTTAGAACCCGTATCTCACTGCCCGTCCCATGTGCCCACGGGCAGAAGGAAGAACTCAAGGTGCTGGGGAAATCTAGTACGTGGAGGAGCCACAAGACCTCCGAAAGCAGAGCTGCTCCGAGGACACACACGTTCCTCTAAAGATGGCGTGCAGGGTTGACATGCTGTGGTGGCCAGATCATGTGCAGTGGCACACAGCCCCAGTCCCAGCCCACAGAGACCCCCATGTGACAGAGCACAACTGCCCCCAGGGCCTCCGAGACTGAACAAAGGGGTCGGGCAGGGACAACATCGTCTTGCTCCCTCTCTCCCTGGAGCATCTGGGGTTCCCGAGGCCCAACGGCCTCGGCTTAGCAGCGGAGCACCTTAGTCACTGTGCCCGGGGCTCTCTCTGTCTTAGCCTCCCCTATCGTCCCCAAGTGCCGCGTGCACCCCATGACGAAGCTCACACTGGGTGAGGGTCTCTTTCTGAGACCCAGGGTGTCACCAGCACCGAGCCTGTGT